CTGTATGATATATTGGCTGTAATATCTGTTATGACTAATTGATTTAATATGGTTATTGGGATTATACCTAAGAAGAGTCAGTCCTCAAGTTCAGTATCACATTGTTTCTGTGGGAAAACCAAGTGTCTTAAATTATTTAGCCATGAGGTCAGATGCATGAGCAGAAAACAGATGTGACAAAACCAGGATTAATGGAAGTCCATGGGTGGGACATGCCCACCTATGAACCACTTAGAGAAGCTCCTCAGTTTGAAACCAAAGGTTTCAATAGTCTCCATATATTTTTAAAAATATTGATGTATTTACTTGTTCATTTATTTATTTTTGGCTGCTTTGGGTCTTTGTTGTGGTGCATAGGCTTCTCTCTAGTTGTGCTGCAAAGGTTTAGTTGCACCGAGGCATGTGGGATCTTAGTTTCCCAACCAGGGATTGAACCTGCAGCTCCTGGAATTGGAACGCAGATTCTTAACCACTGGACTACCAGGCTCCAAGGTACTACCAGGACTACCAAGTCCTGGTCTCCATATATTATTGTATAAACAACACATATACTTTGGCAGAGACCAGCTCCATTAAAAAAAAAAACAAAAATGTACTGCTCTTAAATCTATGAAAAAACAAAAGCAGTGATCTTCATTGGTTTATTACACATATATCATTCCTGCATTACGGCCCCACACCAGAGTAGGAAATAGCTACACACACGAAGACTCAGAGGAGAGACCTGATGTTGTGATTTTTACTGACCTCTGAAAATATGGGGAAATTGTTCAGGTGTCACTCAACCTGGAAGTTATCTTTCTACGCAAATCCAGATGACCTATAGTCCCTTTCCAGTGCCTCCAAAGAGGAGAGACCATGACCGAGTAGGAAGCAGCTGCCCCAGGCATGTCACCAAGTCTGATGCAGGTGCCCGAGCTTTCTTAGCAGCCGGTCTTACAGGAACCTGGAGCAGTGAATTGGGAAGAGCAGCTGTTCAGGCTGTAGCAACCCACTAGATGAAAGTTTGTGATTAACATCCAGGTTCTGAGCTATTGCAGGGGGAGCGGCTGAAGAGTCTCTGCAATCAGAAACAAAGTGTCATCTTCGTGGGACTCTTACAGATGCAGGCGGTGGGGGGTGGGATCGAAGACCACCAAGGACAGGCAGCCAGAGAGCCTGCCCTGGGTTACATCTCGTGAAGGAATGGTCCAGCTCCTTGGCGAGGAGACTTGAATTCACGGCACAGGCACTCACAGTTTACTTGTGACTGGGGACTCATTTCTAGGTGTAGAGGATGAGTGTATGTGTATCAGTTCAAATGTCACTTTCTTCTCATTGATTGGAAGAGGCTGCCTGGAGACTTTCGAGGATAAGGAGTCCAAATCTGGGGCTGTCCTGGATGTAGGGGAAGGGGGAATGGAGCCAGGCCCTGCATGTGGGGTTGGGCAGGGGGTTGAGGGGGAATGAACAAACTTGGTGACAAATCCTAGGCCTTAACTGGTAGGTAAATCGTATGTGGTTCTTGACCTGTATGTACAGTCATTCTCAGTGCATCTTTTTGTTCTCATGATGAAGTTTTAAGTCTAAGGAATCCTTTAATCCTGGTGGTCCAGTGGTTAAGACTCCACGCTTCCAAAGCAGGGGGTATGGGTTCAATCCCTTATCAGGGAAATAGATCCCACATGCTGCAGAGTACAGCCAAAAAAAAAATCAAACTTAAGACAGATACATCTCTGAAAATATTTACTGTCAAAGGCTGGGGCACAGCTGACAAGCTGTCACAGCCTGTGCCAAACAAGGCCAGCTCCCACATGAGCCCCAGGTGGGGAGAGCTCTGTCTGGTTCACACGCAGTCCCACCAGGTTATGAGAATCACACAGCCATGCAGGGCTGAGAATTAGAACCGTCTGTGACATTCCATCCAAAGAAATGGAATAAATCCCTTCCTGGAAGTCTAAGTTGTGGCTGACGTGGGTCTTGGATTCACAGCTCCACACACTCAAGACAGAGACAACTCGAGGGCTGTGCACAAAAGCTGGGCATCTCCTGAGACAAGCCACGAGGCCACCCAAGTTCTGGACTCTCTTCAAGTCAGCTGCCTTGCTTTTGGTGCATGCTCTTCTCACTAGTGATCACTTTTGATACTGAACCAGGTTTCTGATCTTCGTCGTCATTTCCTGAGTGGAACAGGGTGCAATTTAGGAACCTGAGCCCTCTTTCTGTTCCACTGGCGATGGGTGACATTAAATACAAAACTACAGTCCTAACTACTGACATCGGGGTGTTAACCTCGTGCCGGGCACTGCTGAGTACGTTCCTTGTGTCCTTGTATTTATAACTCACAACAGAACAGGAATGACCCACTCCAGTATTCTTGCCTGGAAAAGTCCATGGACAGAGGAGCCTGGCCCAGGCTGCAGTCCATGGGGTTACACGACTGAGCATGTGTGCATGAGGGTGGAGGGAGATGGGTTGGTAGCAATAAGCTGGTAGAACTAAAAAAACAAAAAACAAAAAGAACAAGAGTGATACCTAGAGAGTTGCTTTTTTCCAGAAAAAGTTGAGATTTTTATTATAATTACATGGAAATTATTTTTATCATTCTGATAAATTTATGATATAGAATCTTTATGATATTGAATCTTTCAATTCACAAACCTGATATATCTTTCCACTTATTTACATCCTGTTTCAATAGTTTTATCATTTTTCTCCATTTTTCTTTTTATTGACGTATAGTTGATTTACAAGGTTGTACCAAAACATCTTTTTTTAAGATCTATTCCTACATACTTTATATTTGCTGATGATATTGTAAGTAGTATCCTGTTTCGCTGCACTTTCTGTTTGTTTCTGATATATAAAAATAAAATTGATTTTTACACTTGGATTTTATGTCCAGTTGACTACCAGATTCTCCTATACTTCAAGGTATTCTAGGTAGACAAATAGCAAATAATGATAGTTTTACTTCTTCTATTTCAATCTTTACACATTTTATGCTTTTTTTTTTTTTCCTTACTGCCATGGTTAAGACCTCCAGGACAAAGCTAAATGAAAAAAAAAAAAAATCAGGATTTGTGGCATCCATGTCTTGTTCCTGGTTTTAAAGAGAAATGCTTTCACTGTTTTATCAAGTATCACTATTGTAATCACCTTTTTTTGTAGATAATCTATATCAGATTAGGAAATTCCCTTTTATTCCTAATTTAAGCTAAAAGTGTTCTCACTTTTTGGGTTTAGCATGTAAGTAGGAAAACATTATGTTGGGAAGTTAAGAAGCATATCAGACCTAGAGCCTTGCTATGGGGCAGACACTGTGCCCAGCAGTTGGCAGAGATTTCTTCATGCCAGCCCAGTAAGGCAAACGCTCGGGTTCATGATGAAGAGACACAGCGCTCTTGAGGAACTGACCCAAGGTCTCTCACAGCTGGGAGGTGGCAGGAGTGGGATAGGAATTCGTGGGGTCTCAGGAAGTGGGCACCCAAACACCACCATGGACAGAGGAGGCTCGGAGACCCAGGGAGGTCACAGAGCTGAACTTGACCAGAGGCAGGAGTGGAGCCCACACTGTCTGACCCCAAAGCCTGAGCTCCCAGCCACTCTTGGGTACTGCCGAAGGTTGGTCCAGAAAAGGCTTTACCTTTCTTAACCATTTTGTATAACACTGTGGGCTTCCCAGCTGGCTCAGTGGTAAAGAATCTGCCTGCCAAAGCAGGAGATGCAGGTTTGATCCCTGGGTTGGGAAGATCCCCTGGAAGAGGAAACGGCAACCCAATCCAGTATTCTTGCCTGGATAACTCTGCACAGAGAAGCCTGGAGGGCCACAGTTCAAGGGGGCGCAGAGTCGGACCAGACAAGCGTGCTTGCACATGAGGTTGCACTAACTGCCTGAGGAATTAAGGCAATTGATACATGTTCAATTTGTTGCTGCGTCATCGATACATATTTAATTTCCAGGCAAAGGCCTGCCTGGGAAAAAGTCTGAATCCTCAGATTTTGCTTCTAAAATCACCTGTGCTCTCTCCTGTTTCAGAGGAGACTGGCTGTGCTTACGCCTGCATCACCGGAAGGAGGTAAGGCATGCTTTCTCAGAGCCCTCCCGCTACCCTCCCTCGATGGCCTGACTTAAAGGCACGATGATCCGTGCAGTGGGTTTTGAATCTCTGGGGCTGGTTTCTAGGTTTGTGGATGACGTCCAGCACAGGCTGCTGCGTTGCCACCACCCACTCACCAAGCCGCTCAAGAGCGGGGGAATGTGTGTGAATGTCACCACAGAGACGGGAATCTGGATGCATGCCAGAGCCAAGTGCAAATGCTTTTGGATTGCCTCCGGCTTCCTTCTCTTCACACCCCTCCTCTCATGTATTCAAGGGACTTAAAGGGGGTGATGGCAGCCAAGTACTTTTATCCACACACTCATTTTTCTGCACAAGCTCCAATCCCATTGCTTCTCAAGGACAAGTCCAGGACATGACATTTCCTATGGAAGCAAACTCAGAAAGCATTTAAATCAGAAAACAGTTGGTAGGGAGGGCAAGTGAAAGCTGTTATCATTTACTGTACTGATGGTGAAACAGAAGCCCTACAAATATGATTTTTTTTTCCGATTCCTAGATTAATACCTTTGATGTGAAAAAGTTCAATGTGAAGAAATCTTGGAGACATATTTAATATTATGGATACCAAAGAGCTGTCACTTAGAGGTTTTTTTCTTTTTATGGTTCCTGGTGTTTATTTGAAAGCAAGTCTTTCTTGGAAAATCTGACATACAGATTTTTCAATACATGATGGAGCATTTTACTAGTAAAAGTCCTTATGACATTATACCCACGGCTAGAAATCACAGAGATATTTAAAACTTTTTCTGTTTACTTGATTTTGACTGTATTGTTATCTGCTTCAATTAACTTTAATAATAAATTAGTTGTAAAATTAGTCTGGAAAAAATAAACTGACTATTCATTGGGAGGAAAAAAAAAAATGTTTGAGGAGGAGAATAAATTTAAGAGCAATACCTTGACGTGAAAGCCAGTCTGAAGCCTTGTTTTGTTGATAAAATCATACTGTGGTATTCCCCAGCCAATTTCACCAACGTACTCAGGTTTATATTTAGCTGGCAAGCTTCTATTCGAGGCAGGCCTCCATAAATATCTGAGATCTCCAGTTTTCTCTAATGCAGGACACTTTTCTCCTATATAGGCAGTGTGCTGAGCAACTTGAGGGAGGTGATCCTTTACATAATCTGGGCCTTAAAACAGAAAGAAAAAAAAACCTGAAAATCTCTGCACTTTATTCTGAGATGCTTTGGTTATTCTAAATGGTGGAGATATTACTAGCCAATGATTTTGTGCATTCACTAATGATTGTGTGCATTCTCTATGCTCGAGGTGCTGCCATAAGCTTTTTAGATATGTTAATTCAATTGCTCCTTATAATAACCAAGAGAACTATGGGGTATCATTTTCCCCAGTTTATAGATGGGGAAAATGAGGTCCAGAAAGATTAGTTACTTGTCCAGAGTCACAGCTAACAAGCCTTTCACTCCTTGACAGGCTGTCTCACAGATTGGGCTCTTAATCACCCCACTACATGGCTTTCATTATAACCAATTGAATACAAACATGTTCTTTTTTTTTTATTTTATTGAAATATAGTTGATTCACAGTATTGTGTTATTTTTTTCTACACGGCATGACCTTGCTGTTTATCCATCCTATACATAAAATAGTTTGCTTGCTAATCCCAAACCCCCAATCCATCCTTCCCTGCTCCAAGTCCAGCCTGGCAACAATAGGTCTGTTCTCTAAGTCTGTAAGTTTGTTTCTGTTTCATAGATGATGTCATTTGTATCATTTTTTATTCCATATATAAGCCATTATATATAATATTTGTCATTCTCTGACTTACTTCACTTAGTATGATAATGTCTAGGTCCACCCATGTTGTTGCAAATGGCATTATTTCATTTTTTGTGGTTGAGTAATACTTCATTGTATATATGACCACATCTTCTCTATCCATTCACCTGTTGATGGGCATTTCGGCTGTCTCCATGTCTTGGCTGTTGTGAATAGCTGACACATTCTATACACTAAAACTTCTCACTTACACCACATTTTCAGGATGTTGGTCTTTAGACATTGGAATATTTTATCTAGAGAGATAAAATCCTGAAATGAGGATTAGAAAATTCCCCAAATGTATTAGAAGCCATAGGAAGATTGGATAAAATTGTCAGATTAAGAGGCCCAAAGGCAGGGGCATTAAACAAATATTGGTATTTTAAATGAAAGACAATGAACAAAAAGGAATCAATGAATTGTGGAAGTGGGCCAAACAAGCAAAAATAAGAGGAGATCTGGGAAAAGATGGCTTATATACAATTGGTGTTGAAAGCTGATGATGTAAATGTGTAAAGTGAAGCCAAGAAGGGTTTGATTAGAATAGACAATGAACTGTGGCCCAGGAAGGGTCTCAGAAGACCCAGAAGCAAAGTGGCTGAAGCACTGTCTGGGCAGATCAGAGACACAAAAAGGAGCATCACTCCTCTAACTCAAGGGAAACCCAGACTTTGGAGACAGAGGTTTTGCTATGGTCATAGTGTCGCTTGGTGCCTTCTGGCCCCAGGGACCCTCTGGTTTTGTCTTGGGTAATTGAGCTCAAGGTTTTCAGAGAATACAAGTGGTCGGGGGTTTGACTAAGTGCTCTGATGGAGAGGTCAGTATAACAAATCTGTGCCTAGAAAAATCCTCCAAGCTTTCCAAGGAAACTGAAAATGAGAGAAGTGGGACTTCCCTAGGGGTACATAAGAATCTGCCTGCCAATGCAGGGGACGTGGGTTTGATCCCTGGTCCAGGAAGATCCCACATAACATTGAGCAACTAAGCCAGTGCACCACAACTACTGAGCCCGTGAACCTCAACAAGAGAAGCCACTGCAATGAGAGTCCCCATTCACTGCAACTAGAGGAAGTCCATGCTCAGCAATGAAGACCCAGTGCAGTCAAAAACAAATAAATCAAAGTAAATACCTTGATTCTGGGAAAGATTGAAGGTGTGGGGAGAAGGAGATGACAGAGGATGAGACGGTTGGATGGTATCACCGACACAATGGACATGAGTTTGAGTAGGCTCTGGGAGTTGGTGATGGACAGGAAAGCCTGGCCTGCTGCAATCCATGGGGTTGCTAAGAGTCAGACAGGACTGAGCAACTGAACTGAACTGAATTGAATTAAAAAATTAAAAAAAAAAAAGAAAACATGAGAAATAACTCTTCAGACGCAAGACCCAGTCAGGTGATTCCCCAGCTTCCTAATCACTGTGCTCCCTGGAATGCCTGTGTGTTGACTGGCTCGTTTCCTGTGATGAATCCATTATGACTGCAGGTTCTCACTCAGGCAAAAGGACTCTGTATAGAATGGCCCGAGCATGAAATCTCTCCCAAGTTAGCCAGTGCTGAGGGCTCACTTACAAAGCTCCTGCCATAAGCACAAATTTGCAATCTCCTCCAAACAGGATGAAACTGTGACTGTTTTAGTCTTGCTGGAATTTCAGGGTATGCTTAGGCTGGTATTTTTTTAAGTGTGAAAGTGAAAGTGTTAGTTACTCAATAGTATCTGACCATTTGCAACCTCTTGGACTGTAGCCTACCAGGCTCCTTTGTCCCTGGGATTTCCCAGGCAGGAACACTGGAATGGGTTTCCTTCTCCAGGGGATCTTCTGGACTCAGAGATCGAGCCCCGGTCTCCTGCATTGTAGGCAGATTCTTTATCTTCTGAGCCACGAGGGTAGGCCAGTGTTTTCCCAAATGTTCCCCCAATGCTGCTCCCATGAGTGACATGACAATGTCTGGGAGGGGGCGAGGGTGCTCCACCATCAGGTACATTTGGGACGATGTCCATTTGCCTTTGAGAGATTCCCAGCCTACAAAAAGCATTTTAAAAGTTCTGAGAAATCCTGCACTAAATGAACCTGTTTGCAATTATGTAACACAGCTTTTCCCAAACTGATTTAAATGTCTATCTTTTTTTTTCATTGGGTTACCTGTACATGTCCTGCAGATACCAACAGAGTTGGGGAAATAACGATCCTCCTTGTAATGTTTCAGTTGTTGCTGAAATTTTGTCGTCCCCTCATGCCACTGCCAGTGTGAGAGCAGATGTCTATCTATAGTAACTCCTCCTCACAAAGTGGACCACCAAACATTTTTTAACAGCTGAACACTTCATTTTAGACAGAATCGTGGAAAGTGCATGTGCTTTTCAAGTCAAGCGTGGGGAGAGGGGCTCCCCAGAGAATAAAGCTTCTCTGTGGCTTTTTAGTTGAGCCACTGGACTTTCCTGACCCCCACCCCCATCTCCTGTGTGCTTTGGAAATAGTGTGATACAGTGGTCCAGGAACTTCTGGGACAATTCCCCCAGGCCGTGGAGCTGACGCAGGCACCCACCTTCATAGCGGAGCCAGCTGGTACCACCACCCTCAGTGGGCCAGCTTCACAGCCGCCCCCTGGAGCCAACCCAGAGCTCACATAACCAAAAGACCCACTGTCACTGCCCAGCCAGCAATGCAGACAAGGGGTTACCCTGATGGACAGCTCCATAGGTGTCTGGCTTTGTGTGACTCATTATTCTGACCCTCTTCCTCCAAAGCTGAGACTCTCTGCTGGATCCGATTCCCTGCTTAAAGGCCAAACTCCCAATTCCTGTCCAATCCACAGTCTCTTTATTTTTCTTTTAACAACTAACATGTCTGTTCGACCACTGTTGCTATATCCCTTAGGGAGTTCCTATTTGTTTATCATCCTATGGCAAGTTTTTTTTGATTGTTCATTCTCTCCCCAAAATTCCACCCCTCATTTGCCAATCATGAAGTCGTCAGCTCCTGGGTTAATAAAATCGTCATGTGCTCATCTATTTTGGAGGTCTCGTTCACACCTGAAGACCAGCTCCAGGGGATGATCTGCAGCTGTAATGTTTGAAAAAGCTGCCCAGCATTGATTCTGTGCCCAGAGGCTCACATCATGATGTGGGTGGGAGATGTACTTCCTTTCACACCTGGGCCAACTTCATGGGTTCTCATTTCTTCATCTTCCTGCCCTGGAGAAACTGTGATCTCAGGGGCAGAGGGTAGATCCTTTTCTCCCTATACATGCCCAACATGACCTGCTCATTAGTGTCTGAAATTCTAATGTTATAGTTGAGGATGTAGTTTACAATCTAAATTACTGTAGCATCAAATCCTGACTTTGTCTTATGCTGGCTTTGTGACCCAGGGAACATTATTCAGCCTCTGAATTTAGACTCCTCATCTATAAAATGAGAAAAAATACACACATTCCAGTGTTTACAATAGCCAGGACAAGGATGAAAACTAGATGTCCATTGACAGATGAATGGAAAAAAAGATGTGGTACAAATATACAATGGAATACTACTCAGCCACTAAAAGGAATGAAACTGCCATTTGCAGCAACATGAATAAGCCTAGAGATTATCACACTAACTGAAGAAAGCATACAAAGACAAATATCATATGGTATTACTTATAGTTGTCATCCAATTTAAAAATGATACAAATGAATTCATTTACAAAACAGAAATAGACTCACAGACATAGGAGAAAAAAAATTTATGGTTACCAAAGGAAAAAAGGGGGAGGAGGGATAAATTGAGTTTGGGATTTACATATACACAGCACTATATATAAAATAGATAATCAACAGAGACCTAATACATAGCACAGGGAACTATGTTCAGTATCTTTCACTAACCTATAGTGGAAAAGAACCTGAAAATAATATATATAGAATATATATGTGAATCATTATCCTGTACACATGAGGTAACACAGCATTAAAAATTAATTAATTTTAATTTTTAAAAATGATTTTAAAAAATAGTGACACCTGTCTGATGGCCTTGTTAGAGGGAGAGGAAATAATTTTATTGAAAGAAGTGCTTATCTGATGATCTGGCACATAATATACATCAACATGACTATTTGTGTCTCTTCCTCTTTCTTGTTCGTTCATTTCTCATTTTAATTTGATGCTTTGTCTTACCTGTTTCATTTTTTAAAGTGTATTTTAGGAACTTTCACTAATAATTTATTTCTTACTGTGAATAAATTTCAAAGCCTTTCCTGAGAGCTCTTCTAGTTCAGGGGTTGACAAACTTTCCCCACAAAGGGCCAGAGAGGAAAGATTTTTCACTTTGTGTTTGGGGCATACAGCCTCTGCCTCAACTCTATG